ACAAGACTCTTCTTTTGAAATAGTATCTTAAATCAGTTGTTGCAAAACGTTAAAAATCACACATTCTGATGAGAGCAAAAAGGCCCCTATTTCTTTTTTTAAAATTTTTATTTTTTTATTAATTTTATGAACATTTACAGAGACTTTGGGTTTCCATTCGTTCATTGTTTCACTTTTCTCCCTGCCCACCTTCTTTATTTCTCTAGTTGTTAAATTGTGAAATACTTCAAACAAAATCCATGTTAGACATGCAACTTTGGCTTGGATTAATTTACTTTCTTTGTGGGTTTGTCTCGTTTGTAGTCAGCATGATTGACTATATAATTTGTCAATTTCTGTGAAGAAATGCGAGGGCTTTGTTCAAAAATTAGAAGAATTTCCAGATGGAAATGGCAGAGAATTCTCCAAGAGTAGGACCTTTGTAAGCAAAGACGCTTATTTAATTGTACAGATTGCATGCCCATGAATTAAGCCACAATAGTTATTGCAATAGCTACCCACACTATTGCTGGTGTAGCTATTCAATAACGTTATTACATTAATGCTTACATTACTTACTTAGTATCAAGGCATATCCTTCCAGGGTAAAATAATAGCAAATTTCTTAAAACAAACAAAAAACCAAAACAGAAAAGCTCTTTGCTTTCAGGTCAGAACCAACTCATAGCTGACCCTCTAACAAGTTTTCAGAGTCTGTAAATCACTCAGGAGTAGATTGACAATCTTTCTCCTATTGAGCAGCTGGTGGGTTTGAACCACCTGCTTTAAGCCAGCTGGGTTGACAGCATATCTCCTTACCCACTAGACTTCTAGAGCTCCTGAAAGTACGTTTACATAATCTTAATTTCAGTATGAGCAGGAGTGGCATCCACTTCCTAAATGAACTTGATAAATGACAATAGTTGTAGAAAGGCTTCAGGCCTTTTGTTCATAGGGTCGCTGTGAGTCATTCTTGACTCAACAGCAATCAACAACAACATGGTTACATAAAGAGCCCTTCTGTCTTAGTGTAAAATATGGGGTTGCCAACCAGAAGCTAGGCATTTGGACTCCATGGAGAAAGATAGGGAGTCTCCTGAAAAGATTCATAACCTCAGAAAGTGATGGCGGGTAGGGTAGCTATGAACCAGAACTCAATCTATGGAATTATGATTGGAATTTTGACTAAGGCACATAACCTTAAAGGAGACTAAAGAAATTGTCATTGTTTAGGCCATAAAAACTTGCTGAAGGGGGGAGAGGGAAGAACATGTGGTTCTTATTCCAAGACCATGCCAATAATCACCAGGGGCTCTTGGGGTAAGATGAGTGTGTCCTTCAGCTGGAAAATTCTGGAATCCTGCATTAATTTCAAAAACAGATCACAGGAAAGTTTTTTAAAAAATCTAAACAAAAGGAAAAATAAACCTATGTGAAACTCATTTCTTTTCCCTTCACGGCTTCATTAGAATGCCATTGTAAAAAGTTCAGGAAAGCACACTACTAGCATGGATCTGCCAGTGAAAAAAATTCCTCAAGGATTCTAGTTCAGCACTGAAAAGCCCTTTCCAAGTCGTTCCTAGAGACTTCCTTGAGAGAAAAGAAATGACAAGGAAGGACTGCTCACAACACCTAGCACCCGGTCCTAGGCACATGGCCTATGCCTATTTATTTAACGCTTCAGGTCAATAGCTGTCAGATTCACTTCAATAGCTGTCAGA